TTAAAAAGGACAAATTTTCTTAAGTTATTCCAACAGAAAGTCCTACATTCAGGCTAAGCTCTCATCAAATGAGTTAAATGCCAAGAATCTGAGTAAAATAGAAAACCTCATCATTTTACCATTTATTACCAACTATTAATAGAAAAGCTGATGAGATGATTTAGTAAAAATGACAGATTGTGGTCACTAAGTAGGCGCTTGTGTACATTTTAGTCATATTTCTAAAACCTATGATGATCTAATGGAGTATCAAAAATGCTTTCTAGGACAAAACCATTTTCCAAGTCTCAATTCTTCCCGCTGAATAAAAATGAATCAAAAACCCCTAGTCACTTTAACTAGAGCAATAAAACTGACATACATACGTAAGTACATAAGAAAAATTTTAAACTGGAAGTCAGTTATCTCTTTAACTGTATACTACAGTGTTAAGAAATGCTCACAGCTAAGTATAAGGAATTAAACAGGAAAAAAAGAAAGTAAATGGAAAAGAGAAAGAGGAAAGGAAGAAGAGTATGAGTACGAGAAATGAGGCACACTGAAGGGAAATGGGGATGTCACTATCAACTGCACTGGGAGTCACCCATGAACCTAACTGTACTCTTTTGATTGATTTACTTATTTTTAAAAGGCAGGGTCTCATTCTGTCACCCAGGCTGGAGTGCAGTGGCATCATTATAACTCACTGCAGCCTTGAACTCCTGAGCTTAAGCGATCCTCCCACCTCAGCCATCTGAGACGCTGGGACTACAGACATGTGCCACCACACCTGGCTAATTTTTCATATTTTTTTGTAGAGACGGGGGTCTTGCTATGTTGCCCAAGCTGGTCTCCAGCTCCTGGCCTCATGTGATCCTCCTGCCTTGGCCTCCCAAAGTACTGGTATTACACCTAACCATACTCTGAACAAATGCTAGGGAAATAATTTCAGCCACAGCTTTCCTCCACGAACCCACAAACTTTTTCTTGCATCATCTCACATACACATTCCCTTTTACCTAGAGTCACTGACAAATGAGATGGGCCACGTAAACGAATTTTCCAGACAACTTTTAACTATTTTTTCAAAGATAGTTTAAAATACGTATACTTCTGACTCATTAACTATATAACCAAAATTTAACCTTGTCCTCACTGGTCTGAAGGCGTATTGCTTAGTGTTGTACCCTAAGAATATAGAAGAAACACTCAAGGGTTTCTTCCACATTCAGGTTTCTGGTAATTTTTCAGTCCACTGACATGGCTCTATGTGCCCACCTGCTGCTAGATCTGGGAAGAACTAAAGGAAAATCAGGTTAACTAAACTTGTTCAATCTGGGTCTTTCACTTGCACACCATTCTCCAAGCAAGGGGTCTCTGCCTCGGCAAGGCAATTAAAGTAGGGCTTTCTTGATGTGGTTTCCACGGCACAACATTTTCTTTTGCTTATTTCTATTTCCAGCTGCCTGAGGCAAGAGTCTGGACAGTGAATGATGGGAGGAATGACTGTTCTCCACAGAAAAGTAGTAATTAACATGTTACACCTTACCCTTATAGGATCCACAGGCCTATTCAAAATTTCCTTCAATAAACTGAGGTCTTCACGATTCATTGTTGTAACCTCTCCTTCTTTAAATTGTGTGCTGTATCTACCAGCTCTGCCAGCAATCTGCAGGGCTTGAGAGGTGGTGATTGGTTCTATTTCTCTCTCTCCCTTTTCATTGATACTGGGCTTTATAAGGGAGTAAAAAATAATTCTCCTTATACTCCTGAAACAGAAATAAAAGTGATCCCACAGATTGCATGAAAAACCCTGCATCACTTAGGTCATGTCAGAAATGCTCACTGCAATTCTGTTCAGGCCCACTTGCAATCTTGCCTGCCATTTAAAAAATAAGGAAAAGAGGTCTGCTGGTAATTCTTTTCCTTCCCCTCAAATAATATTTTTTAACAATTGTGTATATTTACTAGAAATCATCAAACTATATACTTACAATGGGTGAATTGTATGGTATATAAATTATACTCCAATAAAGCTACAGAAAATGACTTTTTAACAAATAACCCCAATAAAGTGTTCCCATACTGCTTTTAAAAGTTGGGTGCCATTAAAAACAGCTTTTAATAATAGTTCTTTGATTCA